GAGTAATTAAAGGCCTTTTTCATAGTGCAGGAAAGGCCAAATCTTTGACATGGCTGTCAGCTGCAAAAAAAGAGGGGAATTAAGCACCTGGAGACCAATCCATATAGGATTTATCTCATCATTGCAGCGAGCTAACAAGCTGCCCACTTGTGATGAGTCAGCAACAGACAAGATTTAAGCCTGCCCTCAAAACCCAAATGACTTCCCATATATCAAACACTCTTTGCCAAGGGCTCACAGCCTGCCCAGGTTCTTTTCCAGACCTGCTGTGCACCTGCTTCCTGTGTCTCTGGTTACAAGTGCAGGTTCTCTGTAGTTTTGATAAACGGAGGTTTAAAGTATGTAAAAGTATCTCATTAGAAAAGGCCCAGAAATCCAGAGCTCATTGTGGTGTCACTCAAGTATTTCAAGCTCTGTCCCATCTGCTCTGTCACTCCTGTGCACTAAAATCTCATTAAATAAGTGGTTTCTTCCTCTGAGCTGCCAAGGACCCTGCACACTCCCAGTGCAGAAGCAGTGCAGGAATCCCTGGTGCGGGTACTGCTAGGGCAGACTTGGGTATCAGCACCAGTGCAGGATATTGATACTGTCACCGAGTATTAAATGAGTTTGTGATCTCAGAAGGACACAATGAAGATTAACAAGATGTTTTGGTTTTTTTCCCCTCCAACATCCAAACATGCCAAGGTTAAAACTGAATAACTTTTAGACTTTTAATTTCTTTTACCTTTCTGCAGTTTTTCTGAATGAATATAATAAACTAGTCAGGTTTACTTCCTCTCTTTAGTATGTGTTTCTCATGCCATTTAGCACAGTATAAATGCTTGTGCTCCCCCACAGCCCCCGCAAATTTACTTTTACTTTATAAAATGCCTTATTTTTTGTTTGTAGTCTTTATTTGCATTCATGTTAGATTTAAAAAGAAATAAATCAAAGAAACCTTTCACATGCATCTCTGAATTCAGGATGGGTGAACCCCAAACCACTGTAGTGTTACAGGGATACTGAAAAGAAAGGAGCCAGGGAGAACCTGGCTTGTATCAAACTGGTAGTGATGCAAATCAGGTATTTGTGCCAGACACTGCAGTGCAAACATTGTTTACGTAGCAAGATTCGTGCCCAAGAGGCACTGTCAGAAATGCAGAGAAATCAAGCAGTTGCAGAGAAATTGAGATATTTGGCTCAGCAATGAGACAGAGTAGATGGAATGATCATTTCAAAGATGTTATCACTGTTACATTGTCTAATTAGTAAATCAGTTGAATTTAACCACTCATGCTGGTTAGGAGGGACATGGAAAAGAAGCAAGACGTCTTCCTAGGGCCTAATCTGTTCTTACATCAGGGACCTGTCCAGTGTTCCAAAACACACAGCACATGCTTCTGAAGGAGGGTAATGGAGTTTTCCTTTTTCCCTTCATTGTCTTCTGCTCTCAGATTGAGACACAACCAGAGATTCTGGGCTTCTGGATCATGCCCACTGCAGCTATATTGTTTGTTCTCCAGAAAGTGAGCCTTTTCTCTAGCTGGACTACATCCAGTTGGCTGCCATTGCCTGAATACAGGCCATTTGTATTCTGTGGTAGAAGTGCCATGAGCTAAAGTTTATTTAGCAAAGTCATTCCTCTTGGTCTAAGATCTATTCTATACAGGGAAGGAGAAGATGATGTGAACTTTAGCAGCTAGGATGTTATCAAAGACTTTTGATTAGACTGCAAAGCAGCAGCAGGATTTCCTCATTGATCTTCCACCCCCACATCTTGGATAAATGTTAGGAAGGTTTTTTACCACCTACCAATTGGCAGAACAAAGAAAGGAATCCCACACACGGTGCTGGGTGGAAGAACTGGCACTGCTGTGCGTGCAACCCTCACTTCTTACTCATGATAGAAGACACCCAATATGATGCTAGGTTGGGTCTTGCCAAATCACAGTTCGACAAATCAGGATGCTACCACTGCGTGGGGCCTGGAAAGTCAAAACCTGGCAATACAGTGCAGAGCATTTGCAAACAGTATGTCATTCTTGGAGCCCAAGTCTGTAATTATGTCTTGTGTCCTCTTGAGAAGAGATGCCAAAGTTCCAGTCTTAGCAGGTGGCTTGTAACTGCATGGAACAAAACAACAGAGAATAGTGACTCCTAAGTTAACAGCAAAAGCATATATGTGGGCCCTCATAAAGTTCTAGAGATGAGGTACAGACATGGGTGAGGGGAGACCTAGATGAGAAAGCCCCGCTGGCTTGGTGGGAAGAATTATAACCTCAATGGGAGGAACACTGCTGCTTCTGTAATGTGCTCTCACAGAGTATGGTGGGTTAAAAATGAAAAAAGTAGAAGATTCAATATTAACAAGATTTGTTGGTATAAAAGGTCAACATGATTCTATGGAGGGAAGGTGTGGGGTGAGCTGCATTTGGAGCTTTATTTGTTGGAGACTTTGTTTTCAAAGATGGTTTTAGCCTTGAATGTCGTATCATCCATAAGAGAAAGCAGTTGGGAGCACATGCCTGGCTTTTCATCCTCTGCTGCTGATTTATCATGTCAATTTGTCGAGTGATTTATTGGCTGGTCCTTTTGGAGGATAATTGTATCCATTTCCCAAAATGAGAAGTGGTTTAGAATTTCTGTATTTCTATTTCAGAACGGCCTCAATTCTGGCTATTGCACACAGAGGGGCTGATTCAGTGCCAGATTTTGGTTCATAATGAAGAATTGGGAAAATGCTGGGAATTAAGGTGTCTGGATACAAGAGGGAATAAATTACCAGCTGTTGTGGCCCAGAAAGCCAACCGTATCCTGGGCTGTATCAGAAGTGTGCCCAGCAGGTCGAAGGAGGTGATCCTGCCCCTCTACTCTGCTCTTGTGAGACCTCACTTGGAGTATTGTGTACAGTTCTGGTGTCCTCAACATAAAAAGGACATGGAGCTGTTGGAGCAAGTCCAGAGGAGAGCCACAAGGATGATAAGAGGGCTGGAGCACCTCCTGTATGAAGACAGGCTGAGAAGTTGGGGCTGTTCAGCCTGGAGAAGAGGAGCTGCGTGGAGTCCTTATAGCATGTTCCAGTATTTGAAGGGGGCCTATAAGGATGTTGGGGAGGGACTCTTCGTTAGGGACTGTAGTGGTAGGACAAGAGGAATGTGTTTGAACTTAAATGGGGGAAGTTTAGATTAGATAAAAGGAAGAAGTTCTTCACAGTGAGGGTGGTGAGGCATGGGAATGGGTTGCCCAAGGAAGTTATGAATGCTCTGTCCCTGGAGGTATTCAAGGCCAGGCTGGACAGACCTATGGATTAGTGCAAGGTGCTCCTGCTCATGGCAGAGGGGTTGAAATTTAGATGGTCTTAAGGTCCTTTCCAACCCAAACCATTCTAGGATTCTGATTCTGTGATGTCCGTATCTCTGGGGGCAGCACATGTTCTGCTAATTCCCTGTGGCTGTGTTCTTTTCACATTCAAGTCTTCTTGCTATTTTATAACAAGTCTCTCAGACCAATAGCCCCTGTTACTTGCCTTCAGTCTAAAGACTTTTTTAACCATCATTTCTCACAAAAGACTGGTTCGTAACACTGTTTTTCCTTATGTGTGTTACACACTGTGACTAAAGTCCTCTCTGAGAGGTCAGTGGTCTCTTCACACACGTTTTACCTTTCAGGGGCTACAGCTGGCTGCAGGGCTGTGAATAGGTGTGATCTCCTGCCTGTGACATTTCCTCACTTGATTGTCAAGATTTAAGCCTGGAATGTCAGATTTTTTTTGTAGTTTGTGTCTGATGCCACCTCTTTCATTAGTAGTAGTATACTGTCCTGGGTTCAGCTGCTTAAACCACGACAGTAGCACTTTAGAAGCTGCTGCACAAGCTTTGTCTATTTCTGGAACTGATTTATGTGTGTTAACAGCAGTAGGGTTCTATGTTGCAAATTCCCTGCAGGCTCATGGTATATACTGCCTCAACAAAAGATCACAGACAAAACCAGAGCTGGACATTTAAATGCCCAATGCCTTGAGACTCACTCCTACTGCTGCTACTGCTTTGCTGGATTTATGGAGAGGAAAGTTGTTTGCTGGGCTGTAAATATTAAAATGTGATTCTTTTAGCTACAGTCATTAAATATTACTGAGTTTTAGCAAAAGCTTTTCATTATGAACTAAATCCTGCCAGTGCATGTCATTGCTCCTTCATGTAAGCACAGACTTGCGTTCACTTCATATCATAATGGTTTTGGCTGTTGGAAGGTGCAGGCTGCCTTACCCACAGACTTGGTGTGTGTGGTTCTTAGGTGTGAGCACAGGCCTTGTGCAACAGATCTGCTCTGAGCCTGGGGGCAGAGCCACATCTTGCACACAATTGCACTTCAAAGCAGCAAGCTTAGATGGTTAGAAGAGGGAATAAAGCCGGTAACACAGACATGAGGATACAAATCCCCATGTTTGGGTTGTGTTTCTGAAAATCAGATGAGACCTCTGGGTTTCTTCTGTGAAAAACATTTCCCACTTCCCACTCAATACGCAGAAATGGAATTTAATACCTCCTTTTGCTGACAGGTAGGTAAGGTGTAGAAGTAAGCAGGACTTGACAGTCAGTGTGGAAGATGGATGTCTTCCTCACCTACTGAGCAATGCCTGCATGGCCCTGCCAGCACCCTGCAGGGGTTGCTCAGTACAGCCAGGTTAGACACCCACAGATGCAGTCACAGAAAGAAGCAGTGAGGGAGAAGAGGGAGAGGGCTGTAGGAGTAAATAGATCAGGCCAGAAGAGTGACAGGGAGAGGAGAACCCCTGCCAAACTGCTTGCAGCATGAGTTGCCCAGGCTCCAGACTGGCATGTGGAAGGCTGAAGCGTGCAAGGGACGTTCAGCTTTCACCGATCACACTGTTCCATTTTAAACCTCATACATATGTTCAGTGGGTGGTTGGGCTGTTTGTTTAGGGAATCCTGTTCCCTTCACCATTATCGTGTCTCTTTTTCATCTAAGCAACTAATTTTTTTGCCTGTCTCTCCTAGATCTCAGACCTGATCCGACAAAGCACAAAGGAGTCCCCAGTCTGGGAGTTCCTCAGCTTGGGGTACGCACTCATGCTCTGCCCATTTGTCGTTGTCCTGGGAGGGATGTTTTTCCTGGCCACAGCCCTCTTCTTCCTAAGTGACCGAGCCAAAGCTGAACAACAGTGAGTAACCTGGCAATTGCAAATGGGGAGGTACTGCGCAGCCTGTTTTCTCTCTTGAACAATATGCTTGTTCTCTTTGCCTGGCCTTGGTCCTTCCAGATAAAGGATGTTGGGTTGTGTGTTCAGAACCTCAGCTCAGCAGAGTGCATGAGGCTGCACGAAGCACAGGGGCTTGGGTCATGCTGGCTGGGCATCCATTACACGCTTCTGCTCTGGTGGATCTCAGTTGTTGGCCATATGGCCTGGAGGGGAGCACAGTAGTTGAGGTCACAGGCCCCTTTTACCCTTGCGTCAGCATGCCACAGCCCAGGCCATCTGTAGTGAGGGGTTTCTGTGTGCTGGAACCAGTAGACTGCTAGGTGAAGAGCCAGAGGTGCTTTACAGAGCTTGGTGGTCAACACTGAGTGCACAGTCCCACCTCAGCCCCTGTGCCCTCCTCACTACCCCGAACACACAGGAACATGAGGCAAGAAGGAAGGAAGCAAGCTGCGTGTGGGGACAGAGGTGCTCAGCGGTTGCTATAACAAACATAGTGTTTCCCAGTCCCTTATTGCAGCTTGTAAAAGAAAAGCTACTGTTTTTCAGTAAAGAAACCGATTCGGACCACCTCACGGTTGGCAACTACAGTAATTCAGAAGACGCTTCCACATGACATACAAACTGCTGGGGTTAGTCTCTTTCTCATAATTGTCAAAAAATAAGAGTATCTATGTATAATGTCATGCTGAATATGTGGGTAGGTGACTAGTCTGGTGTTGCCTTTGCATTTCTCCCACTGGGGGAGCGGGAGACAATGCAGACGTTAACAGCCTGTCCCAATTGTGCAGACAAAGAGAGCGGAGGATTCCTTGCTGTGCCTTAAGGAGAAAGGCCCTGGCATATCCTGTCACTAGACTTAATACAACTAGAAGAAAAAGAAGGTGTTTGGAAGTTGACATAAGTGAGTGAACAGTTTGGGTGATACTTGTTGGCTCACGCTCTCATATCAGATGGATGCAAGAGATTTGGAAGCAGTGCCACAGATGGTGCTGTGGCCTTGCAAGTTCAATTCCACCTGCCTCTTCCTAACACATGAATACCAGAGAAAGGAAGGAGTTTCTGCCTCCTGGTGCCTTTAGGTACATACGTTCCTCCTCTAATGAGTTGTTTATATGTTGTGGAAAAAACAAGACCTCATTATGTATCTTGCATGGAGGGCAAGCTGAACTTCAGTGTGGCTTTGGAGATGGGACATGACTGATATGTATGTGGTTTGTTACCTGCATATAAGGGCTTTATGTCGCAAGAAGTGAAATTGGGGATCAGAAGTTAGGAAGAACTTCCAAAGGGAAAAGAAGAGGTAAATGATTATTTGGAGAAGTATGAAAGCTGTCCTGTGTTTCTGAAGTTCACCCTGGCTCATTCTTGCGGTTTGAAGGTGAGAACTGCTCTCTGATTGCCTTCCAGCCCTGTTTCTGTAACAGTGCACATAATCTGTACATGCAAATCTAAGCAGTGATCATCTGGGGACATGGCAAGAAGAACATAAGTTTCTAGGTGCTCAGGGTGGCTTTTTGTTTTTTTGCTACAAGGAGCCAAAAGGCGTGTTTGGTGACAGGGCAGTGATACAGTACAGCAGATGAATCCCCCTTGTGTACAAGCTTGCGCAGATACAGAGGGACAACAGTTGTCATAAATAACAGTTAACAAAATAATTCCTCTCAAATGACTGCCAGTGCAGTTTCTAAGATATGCCCACTCTCATGTTAAAAATATCCTGGCATCCTACAGATTCCTGGAGACCGCAGCTTAGATCAGTATCTTTACTAAGATACTCCCTGCCATGTGGTGCAGTGTCTGTGCTGCCGATCGGGTACCACCTCCCACTGCTGATGGGTCCAGTGGTCTCCTCAGAAGAATTCATGGGAGGGAATTTGTTTGTTATTAGCTGCATGCTTGCCACGAGAGAAAAGACAACAGAGCACTTTGCTATTAGCAGCTTAAAACTCCACACCGGAATCCACATCCATTGTCGAGCTCCCACCTATGTGACAGGCCATCTGCACTTGGCATTGCACACCCTTGGCAAAGACTGCCAGCCCTCCCTTGCATCCTACCTATGGCTTGTCAGGTACAGGAGCATTCCTCTCTCAAGATGCCTTGTTTTCCCGTTGCAGTCAGTCATGCTGCTCAGACAACAGGACTTGGAAATGCGCTTTGCCAAAAGAAATCAATTAACCTGCAGGAATCACAAATGCTGGTGTCATATGCCAGAGATTAAACCCATTCATCACCAGTCGGGTCAGGGCACTCAGGGCAGATGTGACAGACCGCTCTAATGAACTAATGTGGAAGCAAAGAAGTGGAACGCTGCTCTCTGCAGCTCTGTCTATGGAAATGAAGCGTTCCCTGCTTTAAATTCCCTGCTTCTGAGAAAAGCAGTTTGGGGTTTTATTGCTAGGATTGTTCTGTTTGTTTGTTCCTTTGTTTAATGGTCTCTGGGCTTTTGCTTAGAGATAATTTCTTCTTCCAGGCAGGCCAGAGTATCAGGAGAGCAACCTCTTTCCTGTAAGGCTTCCTCCAGTTGCCACCACACTTCCTTTCAAAAACAGAATGTCCAGGCTTTCAGTGCCTCATGACTTTTTTTCATACTACTTTTATCATTGCCACAATTCCTGGCATATTTTGTAAATTCCTATTTTAGCACAGGAATTCCAGTCAGTAAAGCTGCCTCTCTCACAAGAAAAAAAATATTCTTTATACAGCAATTCTTTTTTCTTTTTAAAAATCACCATTCTTTGATAACTAATTCCATGCTGCTTCAGAAGTCTGACAGCTTAAAGAGGCTTCCAGTAGATTTAGGACTAGCGGAGAACGCAATATAGTACATCGCATCACTCTAATATAATCTAATGCTTTTTGGGGCAATTTTTATAACACGAATTTAATGCCACCCTTGAAAAGTGGTGAGAGAGAGAAAATGGATAAGAAAGGTTTCTGCTGGAGCTCTTTTGCACTAGTAATAATAACTACTCCAGTTCTTTTTT